CAGCTCCCATAGCCTGGTGGAGGATATGAGGGATCGATGAAGGATCTGGCCAGGTAGAACGGCATGAGGACCTGATGGGAGGAATGTATCTCCTCGTCAATACGTTATTGCAGGAAAGCCTAGACGAGTCAGGCTCGTTGAACCCGGCAGGGAATGTGGACGAAATACCCGAGAGCCAGGACGACGAGTTCGAAGAAGGGGAAATTAAGGAAGTTTTTCGTGCAGAGGAGTACGACGGGATCTACCTAGAGCTATGGCTTCTTCTGTCATGTGAAATGCGGCTAAGAGATGCGAGCGATAGGGGTCAAGGGATGCCGCAACGCTATTTAGTGCGAGACGGTCACCTTTTCGTGAGAAGGGAAGTGGGGAATCCCAGGAGAGTCGTCTGCGGTAGGAATCGTCAGATCGACGTCGTAGCAGCGCTTCACGATGGTATTGCAGGAGGACATCGAGGGGTACAAGCCACGTATGCCAAGATAAGTGAGCTGTACTATTGGGATGAGATGATATATACGGTCGGAAAGTTCAGCCGATCTTGCGTACCTTGCCAGGAAAGATCCCGTTTAAGGCAAGGAGAGCCGCTGCATCCCAGGCTAGAGCGAGAGGTGGGGGCTGTAGTGCATCTCGATCTACTTTTTATGCCACTTGGGGATCAAGGCTATAACTATATCTTCGATGCCCGCGATAAACTGTCTGGGTTTGTAGACGGGCGTGCCATTGGCACAAAGACCGGGTCAGCCCTGGTGAGCTGCATCGAGGAATACTACCTACGTTATCCTTTCGTCAGGGAATTCGTAATGGACAGGGGATCAGAGTTTCCCTGCAAGGAGGTGCAAGAACTGTTATCAAGGTATGGTGTGGCAGCCAACTACACCACGGCCGCGCACCCCCAGGCAAATGCTCCCGTAGAGAGAGGACATAGTACCATTACGAATCTTCTGGTCAAATGGACCGAAGGTAGGCCTAATCAATGGCGAAGATACCTAAGGGCGGCTTTCTTTGTCGAGAACATTACAGTAAAGAGATCCACCAAGTACGCACCTGCGACGCTGTGGTACGGAAGGCATGCCACCTTCCCTATCGAAAGCTATCTTAAGACATGGAGGCGCCAGGATCTGGAAGTTAACCTGTCATTTGAAGAATTGTTCGATATTCGGGCGCGGCAGATAGGAGCAATAAAAGAAAGGATCTAGGAAGCGTCTGACCAGGTGGCGAGAAGCCGTATGGATGATAAGGCTCGATGGGATCATTCTGCGCGAGTGAGGAAAGTACCCTTGGCAGTCGGGGATGTTGTGCTTCTCTACGATACATCGCTGGAGAAGCAGTGGTCCAGGAAGCTCGATAAGAAATGGTTAGGTCCCTACCGAATCGCACGGGTCGGAGACTTCGGAGCGTACCAGATCGAGGAG